CTCAAACAGGTCAGATCTGAGAAGATACCATCCTGGCAAAGGTGTAGCTGCCTCAGGTAGACTTACTGATTTCATTGAAACCATTTCTGCCCATAAGTAAATTTTCTGTTCTGTGGATTCATCCCGGAATGAATGAAGACACAGCACTGCATGCTATGACTTAAAAAGTGCTAAGAAACTGCATGCAGTAGAAGACAATAAAAATAGTAAGTTGCTTTTCCTTGCACAGTACATAGTAGTCCTGATTCTTAGTTAACTTCTTGATTCCTAACTACACTAAAGCTTCTGAAAACCATCTGAAAAAAAGATCTTCAGGTTATCCTAGAGAGAAGGTTTTAAATGTCCTCCTAGACAGAAGGCTTCCTAGAGAATAAAGAAGTTATAAAAGGATTCTGCACTGGATCCTGTCCAAATTCATCCTACTGAAGGATGGGCCAATAGTATATAAAGAACAGGATGCACTTCACTTGGGTTATTCTCTGACTGTCTTGGTCTGAGTGTAAATAACAGCAGTCCTGTAGCGATAAACTGAATGAAGAATGATCTTCACAATCAGAAATACCAGATTTCAAACAACCATATAGTTAACCATAAACTGAATAGTTATATACACAAATGAGCATATTCCAAAATGATGACACAAAGACTGTCTAGACTTCCATCTAACCATGTCTCATCTCTTCAGCGCATCCAAGAAAAGGAACATACAAGTTACAGATGATTTCTATCTACTATTGATGCATTTTTCTGTTCCTGTTTCTGTTTTAAGTGGGTATAAGAACTATTTATTCATCTGTTCTGCTATGGCTTTCTTTGAGTTACATCAGAACAGCTTCTAAATCACTCATGCCATATTACTAATGAGCAGTAAAAGGGCACTTAACATTTTATTTTTCTTTCAGTGAGACTGCTTGTAATAGAAAGCCTCTTGTCTATTGTGTTGTGACTGTCACAGGCCCAGTCCTGTAAGGCGCTGATTCTCAACTAACACTGACTCTGAGGATATTAAGTCTGAACAATGAGCCCTAAATGAAAAGGCAGACCGGTTTGATAAACTACTGATATAAAGTCGAGTCCTGAAAATTCTTATGCAGGTACTGAAGTAGATTGATCATGTTATACTTAGTTTTTTGTCTTGGTGGTCTTTCATTTAAATATCAAACATTACTGAATCCACTTAGCTTATAAAAGTTGACAGAGTAACAGCTTGAAACACTATAGCTTCAAGGCACCAGTTCTCCCTATCATGAGAATTCGACATCACTGAGGGGTGAAAGGGCTTTTATTTGCATAAGATAATAGTTACGTTTCTATGCAACAGCTGTGCTGTCAGTGAAAGATGCGCTCATTGTGCCAAATCCATCTCTGGAGTAACCCTATTGATTTTAAATGAGTTACTTTGGGAATAAATCGGCCCACTAGACAAAACTGCAGGTCTGAAGCATCGAAATAATTGAGCAAGATTTCCATGATCATAACACGGTAAAAAATTGCAAAACAATTACATGATGTCATGCATTTATGTACCTGACAGATCACAATTGATTTGCCACAAGGTTTTTAAACCATATAGCTAGAGCAAACATTTATGTAGAGCTTACAGACACTTTTTGGTAATATGGGAACATTAAGAGGATACAAGAAACAGGAATATGGTATTGTGTCATTATTAGCTACTTAGTGTTACTGTAAGTCAAACAAATATGAGATGTGATGTCTCTCTAAGGTCAGTTTAATAATAAAGGATTCATATGGCCACATGAAAATTTCTCTTCTTTAGACAGTAACAATCAGGATCTGTTTCTGGTAATGAACTACCTGAAGATTTCACCTCTAGACTATAGACTTCCTGCATATGTTAGCAGGAATTTAATGCTGTTGGCTTTTCAGCAGTCTGTTTGAGTTTGGTAATCTCAGGAGAGTTCTCAGTGGACAGATGTTTACGGCACAATATCCACCTCATCAGTTAACTGCTGCTAGTTATGGCACAAAGACAAAATAGTGCTTGGGTTAGCGTGGCTGAACTCCAAATCACAACTGAGTAGTATATGTCTATATGTTAGTTTTTCCCAGTAATGTACAAGGAAGATGCCAGTAAACTGGAAACTGTTTTGAATGCTGAGGAAAAGTTGTATACATGCATATATAGATGATATATTTGTGTGTATAAATATATAAGTAGTTCTTTATTGATACATATTTGATAAGTGATCTTTTGGAGGGTTCAGAAGCCTTCTTTGAAGCCTTTTTAGTTATTAGAATAATGAAAAGATTTCCCAATCGTGATTCAAGTGATCACACAGCACAATTAGCAAAGCCTACCCTCCCTTTTGTTTCCATTCAGTTTGCAGAAGTAACGTCAACAGGAATCCCGAAGCCTGTTCAGAATGCATCGTGGTTTGCTTGCAAAGGAAATACCTTGTGCTCCTGATGTCATCATTGCAATCATCTCAAATTCAAGTCTGACTGAGCAGGCTCATTATAATTCTCACCATGTCCTCCCTTAGAGCAGCCTCTCCCGCCTCCTCCTGTACAGCACAAAACAAGAGCCACAGGGGTGCTTGGATTAGGGAAAGGAGTGACACCCAGCACCTCCCCCCAAGAAAACTTGCTGCACTACTTCCATCTAGTTCCTTCAAACTACATACTGCTTTACAGGACTTTGCACACCACCACCAGATGAAGGTGTGGATTCACAAATATTGATTTCCCCTTCCTGTTTAGGGTTGAACAAAGACTGGGGACAAGCATGGTTGTGTGTATTCATTTAGCTTCTGAATGCGGATATGAAAAGAGTGTGCCAGCCTCCACAGTAAGAGTTTCCTGAGGAGAGCTGAACATTTCAGACTGCTTTTTTTTTTTCACCAGGGCAAATTTCTCCCTTTCATCTTACAAGGTTAACTAACATCTGAGCAACAGATAGGAAGGCAAGACAGAGAGGGCGGTTGAGCAAAAAGAAGTACAGGGCAAAAAGCAGGGGACAAATTGTCTCAGGCACCAAGTTTAGATCACAAACACGTTTCCTGAAAATTCAGAAGGTCCTGGCTATGGACCTCAGGACTGATTCTGTCTCTGACCCATGGCCCACGTGAATTTGTGGATCTCTCCCCCAAACCATCCCCAGCCAATGATCCCCTTCACACAAGGAGTTGATTTCCACTGTGGAAGAGAGGAGGCAGGACAGGGTTAACCTCGCACAGTCTTCCTTCAGGCCCCCAGAGGGGCTGGGGTTTTGTTTTCCTGGCTAAGGGAGGGGAGCTGGGGCATGTATTGTGACTGGAACTAGAGACCTTTCTGGTGTTACCAGCCTGTTTTGGGTTTGAGGGAAAGCCTGGAGCAGGAGGGAGAGGAGGGAGAAGGCAGGCTTGGAAAGCAGCGAGTGTCTGGTAATTGCACAAGGTAAAGCCAAGTGTCCTCCATTTCCCCGAAGCCCCCTGAGAGCTTAGGGGGGCTCCGAGAGGCCTCCAGCCTCCCTCCCAGCCCTCCTGTCCCCTCCCCACATCTTCCAGCTCTGCCGTGCCAGCCTTTCCCTTGACGCCAGGTGTCTGTCCCTGTCCACAGCGCGGAGCGGAGCGGGGACAGAAAGGGGAGCAGAAGTCCCCTGGCTTTCGGGGTGCCCGGTCCTGATTCCCCAGAGCCTGCGGGGGCTCGGACGACCCCCTGCCTTTCCCCTCCCCCTGCGCTGCAGAGGCTCTGAATGCTGCCACCCCTGCCCCATGTGCTGCCGCCGCCGCTACTGCTGCTCGTAGCTTAGTCGAGCGTGTCTCCGGCTGCAAACTCCGCCAAACAAGCCTGCATCCCCTCCAGGGAAGGGTAACCAGTAAGA